ACGGAAATATCTGCTAAACGTGCTACTTAACTTTATCAACCTGGCAACCATGTGCACGCGCGCTCTCTCTCCACTGGATAAACGCGCTTGCTTTCTGAAAACAGCGGTTAGCTTGCAGTTTAGCTATCTCCACTTCAAGTCTGTTCTCAGAAAAGTGTGATTCATCAACTGTTCATTTACGACAGAGAGAGAGAGGCTGTGTATGTATGAATTACCACCGTTTTGCCGCGTTTCTCTGTTAATAGTAAAGCTATGGCTTTAATTCTTTTAGAAACAATGATGCTACCAGCTCCTTGTTGAGAAAGATAATGTAGCTCTTGAGCGATTAAGCTATTTCGTTGATAAAATTGCGGGGCAGCGCTAAAAAGTTTGTTCCTGAATGTCTGAGTGCGGCCGCGGCGTGATCTGGTGTGTGTGACTGCACTTAACACCAAACTGCTCGTTTCACACAAATGCTGGCACAGAAGTGCATGTTCGGCTAGAGTCGCTTTGAACTCGTGCATCTTCGGAAGCGGAGCTGCGCGGAAAGTTACAAAAAATGTTGTGCACACCGCCACGCGAAACGACGTCGCACGCACTCAAAGCGAACTTGCTGACGCTTGACTATAAATCAGCCATAAATCAGCCTTGAATGTGTGAGCGTTAGATATAGTGAAGACAGCGTGTTAGTTTAGAACTCTTCTATTTTTTTTTTTATTGTAGAAAGTGTGTTAATTTGTGCAATGATAACCTACCAGCAATGTAAATTATTTAAAAAACATATTAGAATGAGTACATTACAATATAAATGTATTAGAACAAGTACATTATTATTTATGGGCTTAAAAACAAGATGCAAACAATCAGAATATTGAACCTGGTGGGGAGTGCATAATGTAAACATGAAACATATGCCATTACCTATATTGTTCTGTGGTACAGTTATGGAGGCCCTTCATAATGCAGAGGTCAGCTGCCTGCTCTGCCAATAGTTAGAAATGGCACTATAGTAAGCAGTGTTTAATAAACAGCTGTTTTTCTAAATTCTGCTGAGGTGAAATTCAGTGCAGTCATGTATCGTATCGTGGCCTCTGTATCGTGATACGTATCGTATCGTGACTTTGCTGGTGATGCACAGCCCTATTGTACAGTATATTGAGACAGAGGCGCCAGAACTGCAGCTGATAGAATGTGCACTGTAGCACGATACTACGATATTTCTTCAGAAGCAGAGACTTGGAGACATTTTTATCGTCCACGATCAAAAATCGTCATATCGCACACCCCTAATTGCATGCATAAAATGGGTAGTGAATGCCATTTCTTGTTGACTTTAAACTGTTCTTCATGAATAAATTCACATTTTTGTATTTTACAGAATAGCCATTTGCCAGTTTAAATGCCTACGGCTTTATTTTAAAATGATTGGGCCATTATGTTTTTGATTTTACCTTTGCTTTCACTTTTGACACTGGTTGCAATACAGATAAATCGTTTTTTTCTGTGTGGGAAGGTGGCTCGTTGTCATTCCTGAGCAGGTGTTCTATGCTAATGTTAATTGAGTAAGTCAAATGATTCCAGATACCAGTCTCAGCTCTCTACTGTAAAACTCATTTACCCTTGTACAATCTCTCCCATCAGTATATGCCACATTCAGCACATACTCCAATCTCCAGAATTATCTCCATGCCCCAAACGAAAGAGCACAGAGTCACACTGTTGTTTCACGGCCTTATCAGGTAGCTGTAAACTCTTTGTTAGGACCTTGCTACAGGCTGGGATTACTTCTCAGTGAGCTGTTTTTCTCCTCTCTCTCTTCCACCTTTTCTCATTCTTTAAAGATTTCACAGTCATCCTTTAAGTCCATATTCTCCAATATTGTCTTTTATAACTTTAGACATCCAAACATCTGAGCAAATTAAAAATAGAGGTGTAATAGAATGGACAGGCAGGGTGACTTTGCCTTTAAGAAGCACTGGGGACATGGGGGTTTGCCATTTGAAGTGTACATCTTTGATTTCTGGTCAGCTTGTTCTTGAGACACAGGTCTTTGTTTTTTATTCACAAACAGAAGCCTGAGCTTTCGTGGGATTCTCAGACAAATTGAAAAGGGTTCAGGTAACAAGAAGCGCACACTTGAGAATCACATTCCTTGAATAAAGTGTAAGACTTTGTTGAGCACAGTCACTGTAAGACATTTTCAAAGGTGGCATAGCTAGACAGGAAGGACAACTAAAAGTCAGTCCCTCTAAATTGATGCACACTATTTTAAGAAATTCTTGAGAATGCTTATATTTATTAAAACAATAAAATATATGAAAATAGAAATTAAGCAATCAGATTGTCATAAAAATAATGGGTAAACTATTACATATACAAATTAGAATAACTAATTGCCACGAATTAACAATTCTAAGATAATAAAATAATTTCTCAAAGCAATATTTTATGTCTGTATATTTATTTGATCGACTAGTAGCTGTGTAATGAGTGGGAAATAGTCAGTCGGTCATTATCCATTCAGGATGATACAAGAGACCTCTACTTTGTGTCAGGGGCTTGATCACCCTGTCAGATTTTGCGTTGCGATAATGACTGCCTGACTGTATGTTATCCCTCACTCAGCTAAGGGATGACTCTCATATTTAACCTCTTCCCATCACACCACCGTACGATTATAATGAGAATTATGGCAAGTAAAGCAAATCTGTTCTGGCTTTGTAGACAATGATAAGTGATGTTTTTGTACATTTTTCATTGAATGAAAATATTATTTTGGGTGCAGAAGACAAAAAGAAAGAATACTAGAGATCTGTAACATGATAATGTCATTTAAGGCCATATTTTTTGGTCCAAACAGATGACAAAATCCTATTCTGTGACATAAACAGATGTCTGCAATATCAGTTGATTTTCTGACAACTGGGAAACAATGAAAGATTCACAACTGGACCAGTTTAGCTGATGCCACTGTCATTTGAGAGAAGCAAATATCTTTCTCGCTGATGTGGAGAAAGAGGCCCTCATATGAGGGTTATTTAAATCCGACAGTGTAACACAAACCGTCAGACCTGAAGATGCGTAATTGGCTGTAGCGTATGTGTCTTGATTTGTCATCAGTGACGCGAGTGGCGACAGAACACATGGTGACGTGTAAGCACATTAGCTTAGAGACAGAGGAAATCGAACTGATTTGCAAGCATGCTCATAACCACATTTACATGATTTGGTATAGCATCTTATTCACAAATGATAGACAATTGTTTGTCACAATTACAGCCTTAGGAAAATGGCGGGGGTGTTTTTGACAGTGACTCAGGCATATTATGTCATATTTTTGACTCCCTGTTAGGATGTTTGTTATGGATTAGACATCCCGTCATTGTGCTGGTGCTGAAATGTAGGTTGGGCTCATAAAATAATGACTTAGACATGAAAATAGAATTGAGTCCCTTTGAATATATTCCTGTTTTTTAAAATTAGCATTAGCATAACTTTAAGAAAATTAAAAATAAATGACTTATGCACATTTGTTTGCTTCACAGTTGACAGTTGTCCACATTGTAGTGGTCTATATATATATATATATATACTAGGGATGCACGTTATATCGGCCACCATATCGGTATCGGCCCATATCGGCTCATTTTTTCTGTTATCAGTATCGGCCTGATAAGAAAATTTGGCCGATATCTTAAAGCCGATAAATAATGCATTATTTCCTTCAGAGACACTTCAGATGCGCGCTGTTCGTTTGCAGCCTTTTGTGCAATTGTACATTGTAATATTGTGTTTATTTGATGTATATCTGATTTATCTCATATAGAATGCATTTGGTTAAGTTAAAAGAGCGCTTCAGTTTACCGGTGATCATCTTTAGCTCAGCACACGCAGCTCAAACAGCAGTGCACAACATTAATAACTATGATTGGGAATGTCGTGTATATAACATTCTAATGAGAACATTATTATAATAAAACGTTGGGAATTCTTTGGGTTTAGTTGCCGTGTTTCAGCGCGTTGATATGGGAAGAGCGCATCCACAACAGGATCACAGCACACACCACATTATGTAAAATTCTTTTAGCCAAAAAGGCCATTTACAGATTCCTTTATTCAGGCTGGTCAAAGCTTTTTTCCCCCTTTCATCCATTCATCCTTACTCCTGCAGGGGTTTTAGTGGGATGGAATGTGAATGTCATGTGGGTGACAGACGAATATATAATCAGAAGTTGGTTGTAACAAGGTGATTTATAATTGGACTCAATTTACAGTTGTAGACAATTTCATTGTAATTTAGAAATTCTGCCCTGAAAGTGAACTTTCATTTAACAATGAAAGTTAAATGGCAGTGATTTGACTGGCCTGCCAAGCCCTTAGGAATGAGAACGAGAGACAGACAGGGTAAGAATGGAAGAAAGCCTAATATATAGCCCTGCCTTAATTGCCCCTGAACAAATTGTATTCCCTTTTTCTTTTATCTTTAGCCAGCATTTGTGCTTTTTACTGTTCTTTCGAGCAGTCTGGATCAGGTTGGCTGTGTACTTTATTGGGTAGTTAAAGTCTTAATAAAGCTTAGCATCAGTTCCCCTTAAGCCCTTGAGAGTGGACTTCCACTACTGAAACACCAGAAGTCTTATGATTCTCATCACAATATGTCACTATTTCTTTTACCTTTTTTTTCATAGCATGCTTGGCCAGTTAGTTCACATTTTCATTCATCTAACATTTTTTACCTTCATTCTGCAAGTTGCTCATTAGTCGCTCTTTGCAGTCAGAATATTCAGCGGCCATTAATTAATGATCCTTGTTATGTGCTGTGTATGAAGAATGTAGAAGAACTGCAAAAGATAATCTATTATTAAATCATATATACTGGTTATTGTATTCATACACTGAGCCCTATATATTAGCATGATTGCATCAATCCATCATGGGTATTGATTAATGACACAAATGTTTTACTGCCTCTTACCTTTTATTCTTTAATGCAAGCTTGTTTTTTTTGGTTTGTTTTGCAGATGAACATGGACATTTGAAAATATACCTGCCCAAAAAGCTGCTTGAATGTCTACCAAAATGCTCCACGTTGCCAAAAGAGAGACACCGGTGGAACACCAATGAGGTAAGGTCACCTCTCTCCGCCATCTGCTGCTGTCTTTTTTTAACTCCTGCTGACTTTATAGAGATAAAACCTCGTTTATTTTAAGCAGTGAAACGGACACAATGTGTTAATAGAAACCTCTCTAGGGATTCTGTAGTCAGTTCAGATATTAACAGCAACTGTGTGATTGCCTTATTTTTGTGGCAGGAGGAGTTGCCTATTTTCCGTGCTGTGATTGCAAAGGACATAGATCGAGTGTTTTAGGAAACAGCAGGTTCATAAAGCTATCTGTATATACAAAGATCTAATTTTTACATTTATGCAAATATAAATTTGCAATAGTTTATGATCTGCTCGTAAAACATTTATGTTCTAGCGTTCAATATTTTAGCTCATATTCTGTTGCTTTTTTGGTAGTCTATTGCAGAGCAGTTTGTAAGTTAAAACTCCAATGTATATAATTTTTGGACATCTGTTCCAGCATCACTTTTATTCACAGATGTTTTAATTCCCTGGAAATATAGACAGGATGTGATTATTTATTTATTTATTTATTTGTGTGATGAAAGGAATCCTGCCCTGTCATTACATTACTAAATCAGAGAAGAATATGGATGCTCTGTTTTTTTTTCTTAGACTGACTCTTCATTTCAGTCTTCCTTCATTTCTGCTTATTGGTGACATTTGTAAAATTTTCAATACTCCTTTAAAATGTTCCCAGGGGTCAGAGCACTGTGTGATCTTATATTAACAATTCAAGGAAACAAAAATATTTTTGGATTAGAATAGTGCAAGTCATTTAGCTCGGCTCAGTTGTTTATTGACTTTCAGTAGATGCTGACATGCTATTTCAGACCCCTCTGTGCCACTGCATAGAAGCCTCGCTATCTAACAAAGCCATATACCTAATAATCTACATATGAAAATGAGTTTTAAGTACGTTTATCACAGCCTGAAGGCATTTCAGACACAATGCATCAAACAAATAAGAAAAGATAACAAGCCTCTTAGATTTCAGTATTGAAAATGAAAATGTGAAATGTTTTTATTTGTATGACTGTGGGAGGAAAAATCAGAGACTGTTTGCTCCAGCTGTCCTTGACCTATAGGCCAGCCATTTTAAATTAGTTCATTTCTTTTCAGTGCGGCTACTTTATCATTTAATGGAAATGAGACGGTGACTTGCTTGATTTTCACATTTTATTTGTTGTTCGTGTTCAGTCTGTTGTGCGGCGTGGCTCCCTCCGTGCAGAGGCTGCGGGGAGATTGAAACTAAACATTGTTTCACTGCCGTAAGCTAGAGGGATTTTAAATGACTGAGTTTCTCTAAGGAGATTCATAAACTCATAGCTCAGTGAAGGCGATGCAGTTTTATTACAATTGATCCCACTGAAGCACGCATGGCTTTCACACATTAAGTGACAGGCGTCATCAGAGAGCAGGATACAAAGGAAGCTTTTTGGGGACTTTCTTTCTTTCTTTTTTTAAAACTCTCCCCCTCAAATTAATGACATCCTCTTGTGCAGGCTGGTAAAGAGAGGGATGAGGAGCGCTTTGGTGGGGTAGTGAGCCTGCCTGCCTGCCTCCCTCACTAATATCAAAACGCCTGCCATAGCCACATACATAACTCACATGTCACCTTTACATCAATTTCAGCTTTGACAAAAGTCTCCAGTGACAAATCACTGATGTGGCCCTCTTAAAGGGATATTTATGAATTGAATACACTGCTTTATCCCTCCGCGTATTCTTTATAGAGTGACAAGTGGCTTTTTTTGAAGGGAAAGAGGTGTGGATGTGAATGACAATGCTGAAATAGACATTGAAAGCACCAAGCCGTTGAATGTTTGTCTTGTCAGATTTAGCTCTGAATGTTTTCCCTCTGCGGTTCTGGTAACCAGAGACTCGTTTTGTTTTGTTGAATAGTTTGTCTTTGAAGTGCAAATATGGCCTTGTGGGATATTGTTGATTGTTTGGCTTGATTTCCATGTAACATGATGCAATATCCAGAGTAAAAATTTTGATTTCTGAACTATGTATGTGCACTTATCATTCAAAGGCTGTCAGCTTACATCAGGCATTCTGTGTGTTTGTATATTTGTGGTCTGGTTTGAAATGATACAAGTGAACTAGAATATTGCTTCAGATCAGCGGCTGCCTTTCTAATTGAAGCTGATGGTTTAACGCGTTTGACCTGCGATGTTGCGCTTGCAGTCAAAATTAATTAATGTGTTTTTTGGAATTGATTAAAAAATGTCAGCACTTATTTTGGAATGATGTCATCTTTGTCCTAGTATGTTACGAAAGAAAGAAATCAAGAACTTCAGGAAGTTCTTTCATGTTTGTTCCCCAATTCTTTAAGGAAACAAAATATTATGCAAGTTGGGTTCATTTGTGCAGAAGCCATTCATAATGAGCTATATCCTCACATATAACCTATGAAGATATCAGACAGAAGAACATTTTTGCAGCAGTGCTCTTATTTGCCTCACTTGCACTTCTCTCATCACCATAATATAGCGCTTTGTCTTATTTTTATCCCATTACACATACTGAATAAAAGTAAATTCAGTTATAAAATAACAAACCTAGATTCTATATTCCTCAATCTGCATGAAAATGCTTGGAAAATGCAAACTCTAAACTCAATACAAATCTGCAATAATGAAATAATATAATAACATAACCCACATATTATAGACTTAGTCTTATAACAAAGATTTCACCAAAGTGAATCATTGTAATGATGTTATGGTATTTCTTCAACTACAGGCACTTAAAAAAAAAAAATTATTTTATGGCCTAGTGGATTATTTTGTATTTTGTATGAAGCCTACTTTTTAAACTTTTTAAAAATGCCTTTACTTTTTGCTACTTTTAAATCCTTACGTACATATTTTAATAATTTATCCTTGTCCCAGACTTTCAGTTTATGAAAATCCATAATTATTATATATATTAAAGGTTAAATTGATCATCTAAATCTTCTCCTTGTATGATCTATGCATATAGACTTGACATAATAATAAGTAAGTGTGTAAAGTGTCTTTAAGAGTTCACAGGGTTAAAAATGGCCATAGTTGAAGAAAAGGCCATTGTGCTGGTGTTTTCATGTTGCGTGCATCAGAATGGTCTGCACCATTGGTTGGAGGGAAGACAACCTTCCCCAAAAAGCAAGGGCATTTGTGTGTCATGTGTGCCAGGCAGACACTGAGGCTAGAGTGAGTCACTGATGGCAGACTGAGAGGTATTAAGCAGTCTCATTGCTGCTGATTGTGTGACTCTTACTGAAAGTGACACCTCCTGTATTTCCTCTATATCCCGCCTGCTGCTCTTCCCACTTAGTAGTGTTTTTTTTTTCTCTGAATAATGTCTTCTTAACGATGAGGGTTCATTTGGAGTTTATGTGGGCAGGAAATATACAGGATCAACCTCAAATCAAACCAAATTTGTCACACCACATCATGTTATACATTGCGTTTTTTCTGTTCTCTCACCAAGTCTGTTGTTGTTTGAGTTTCCCTCATGTTACATGCAGTTCTCTATGTTGAAGTGCAGTCAGATGACAGCAGAACTTCTAACGCAGTCCAGACAAATCAGGCTAGCTGGAGTGCAGCGGTCATGTGTGGGAGCCCATCTTTTCTTTACTGGATGTTCAGAGCTCTGGGCCATATTTAAATCTGTCATCTTTCCTTGTGTGCATTTATACAGAGAATGTGAGTTGGATTAAATTTCAAGCATTTGCTGGAAAGTTAGATAAACCAATCTGCTCAAAATGAGGTTGATGGCAAGAAGAGGAGGTAAGGATGTAGGTGGTTTAAAAGAGGCGATGTGCACAAAGGCACTGCTCGGCTTTTAAACTGTCAGAATGAGATTTGAAGAAAATATGGGCAAAGGATTGACAATTTATTTAACTGTAGCAACCACAGCACTGCAATCTTTATAACAAAGAAAATAGGCTTAACAATAAAGGCATAACAGAGTTTGAGGCAAACACGAAAACTAATTAGAAAGGGGATCTATGAGATCTGACAATGCCTTCCATGAACAGAAATTAAAAGAACAGGTTTATTCGAGAGATATGTGAAAAGTTAGTACCCGAAGAACTCCGTCACATCTGACCTTTCTGACATAAGCTGACATAAATTGCTCCACATAATGGCAATATTGGGTTATTTTTAATGTGAATGGTATACACTGGTTTTTGAGGCAACAATTCTATAGAAACCTCTAGCTCAGGTTCTTTTCATTTGGTTTTGTCTTCCTTTCGACACATGATTTCTAGTTTTTCAGGCTTATTTTTTAAAGGAAGCACACCATATATTGAGGATAGTAACCTGTGATTTCCAAACTCTAGTTTTCAGAATGATTTCCCTCACCATAGCTAAATTTAAGAACACACGCTCCATCCTGCTTGGTGTAGTCCTTCACATGGTGAAATGTAGGAATGTAACGATTCATTCAACTCCCGATTCGAGATTCGATTTTCTCACGATTTTTTTTTTTTTTTACAAAATAAGATTGAAGACAAATTATACAGTAAATGAAGAGGTGTCCTTTTATTAGGCTAATGCTGTACATTTCTTTGTGAAATTGAAATATAACAAAACTAAATTGAAATTTCAAAACAAACCCCAAATCAAATAAGCAAGTTACACAAATAAAAACTCTTCATATAAACAAACTAAGGCTTTGTCTGTGCTCTTTCCATTTAAAATTAGAGGCAACCACTGCATTTTAATCATGATCCAAACAAAGATGCTGCATACATTACAGCAGTTTTTAATCTAAATTAAGGCTTGTGCACACCGGGACGGTTATCGCGCGCGATTATTGCCGACATTTAACGCCTCGTAACTAAACAAAGGGCACCAATGTGAGTGTGCACACCGGCGCGCAAAACGGCAGGCGTAAAAGTGTCATTTAAAAAAAAAAAAAAGCCTCGGGCTCGTTTTTTTGGTTTGAAAAACGGTCTTGCCGAGCACACACTTGATACCTAGCGACAAAGAGGAAGTAGGTAG